GTTTTCTCTCGGATACTTAGCAGAATAATGAAGTTTCTATGATTTCCCCTTGTTAAAATGACGGTTCTCGGATATAACTGATCAATGACTCAATCCGCTGCGTTTTCCCTCAAGTAACCAAATGCCAGAACCGTTCCCGCACTTTTCCCCTCGATCAATTAACTTAGCCGGACCAGATTGATGTTCCCGTTCACTTGAACCGACGAAATCTGCTTGGTTCACTCAAATAGCCGGTTCTGATTGATTTTAGCCGATCAATTCTCTCGGATGAAACCGATAACTGTTCCCGCCAATCTTGTCCGTGCCTTTTTCAATAACTCCCTCGGATATAACCGCTCCCGCTCGGCTATTTATTAACTTCTCGGATATTTTCATAATTCATCCGATAATTCTACAAAGTCCTTCGACCATCCCAGCTCAGCTCCAACAAACATAACCGTCCTGTCCGAATCCCGACCAAAGGCCCGAGAAACACGGTTTGTCCGAAGCTTCCTTGTCCAATCCCATTTTCACTCGGATATACTTAGCTCAGCTCCCTTCTAGCTCGGACTTCAGTAAACTGACCTGTCGGAAATCCGACCAACTATCCGAAATTCGCGGACTGACGGATTCTCACTTGTCCGAACCATTCTTTCCCGGCTAAACACTCGAATCAGCTGAACTGGCCCGTTCCAGCTTGTTTTAGCTCGGCTATACCTCTTTCCAACCGATAGCCCAATCTTTACTCGGACAACCCCTGATTTTTTATATTCATGACCTTAATCCAACTGATTCAGTTTGATCCAAGGATCACGGATGTTACAGTTGTAACATGACAGCTCATGCTCCTCCTTATGATGTAATTTTCATTAACAATTCTTATCCACCTTATTCGATAGCAGACATTTTGTATTCGAATCTTATCAATTCATAATAATAAATATGTTTCAGATAAATAAAAAAATTAGTTCTTCCTTTCAGACCTACATATCCAAAATCTACGTAAGCAGTTTTTCGCTTTCCATTACGGAATCAAAATTGATTTTCTCATATTAAAAAACAAAAATTATTTTGCTTTTGTATTTGAGTTCTGAAGTCCTACGTGACTTCCATTTGCTTTTTTAATTTAAGAGTTTTTGTAAGACAATTGGTATTAAAATTTAGTAGTATTTTTGAAAGAGAAAAACATTCTCATTTACCTTGGCTTTTTAGGATTCAGTTGTGAATCAATACAACAATAACAAATAAGTCTCTCTTGGTGAAGACACTTAAGCTTTTTCAAGCTTTTTTAAAATGACATCTCAGTAAAAAAATCACTAATAAAAATATTTTATTAATATAACTTATCTACTTATTTTAATTTTTAAATTTAAACCCATTAAAAACCCAAATTCTTTTTTGTTAATCTTTGTTTTATTTTTTACCAAATTCAAGCCCAAATAATAAATAACAGCAAATAAAAAAAAATTTGTGTTATGTTTTATCAAACCCAAGCCCAAATAATAAATAACAGCAAATAAAAAAAATTAAATCTTTGTTATATTTTTTGTCAAATCAAACCCAAATAATAATTAACAGCAAATAAATAAATAAAAAATTAGCTTTTTGTTTCTTTGACAGAAACATATATGATTGAAGAAAGTGTACGCTTATCATCAACTATGTTTCCATAACAACACAAAAAACGTTATATTATAAGAAGTTCACATATCAGCAAAAATTTGAACCAATAAAAATATAACAATAATACATATCATTAACACACTAACAAAATTTCTCGATTTTGGTGGGAATAAGCAATTTCTCGGTTATGATGGAAAATGCAAATTTTTAGTTTTTGACATATAATGTGATTTTTTTTGTTTCCGCGGGAAAATGTGATTTCTTAGTTTTCGCGGGAAACACAATTTCTCACGAGATAATGCAATTTTTGGTTTACGCGGAAAATTATAGTTTATCGGTTTTGGTAGGAAGGCGTAATTTTTGGTTTGACAAGAAAAATGATTTTTTTTTGTTTTGGCGGGAATAGACGATTTCTCGGTTTTTGCAGAGAAATAATTTTTTTCGGTTTTGACGGGAAAATACATTTTTTGGTTTTTGCAGGAAGTTGAAATTTTTTGGTTTTGGTGAAAAAACTTGATTTCTCTGTTTTGGCGAGAAAACATTGGTTCTCGCGGAAAAATATGATTTTTTGGTTTTTGAGGAAAAACGCAATTTCTTTGTTTTGGTGGAAAATAAAATTTCAGGTTTGACGATAAATATTTTTTTTGTTTTAGCGGGAATAGGCGATTTTTCGGTTTTTGTAAGAAGAAAAAATTTCTCTGTGCTAAATTTTTAAATTACAATATGTTTACGGTAACCAAAAATTAATTAGTTGACTTCAACTAAATTGATATTTCAACAGTTCAAACAGAACTTTCTATTTAATTCTAAAGCAATAGCAATGGTTTTGATATGAATGTTATTGATTATAGTTTGGTAGTTTTAGAAACATATGTTTATAATAAAAATAATCATATTAATTAATAATTTTTTTTAAATGACAATTTGCTTTATATAATTTCAAAAGATGATCAAATGGTAATTTAATAGAGAAAATGAATTACATTTACGATTAGCATGAAGGTACTTAAAAGTGTATTATTTTATTCTTACATATACATTTATAGATAGTTAGCTAAACAAATTTGATAGTAGATTATTATTTAGAAAAATAAAAAAATTAACGATATATAATGTTTATACAGATTTAAAACATATAAATATATAACTTAAGCTAATAAAAAATAAATATAATACTCATTTATATTATAAAAATAATTTTATTATATTAATAATATATACAAAATTTAAAAAAATATCCAGCAGCATAGTGCGGATACATACCTAATCAATATAAAAATATCACGTCACAAGCTAGTGTATTATCAATTTCAGCAGAATATACATAAAACACCAAATATTTAGATTAAATAGATCGATAATATGTTTATTTATGCTTTAAAATGTTAATAACGTATATAATAACAGAATCATTTAAAATGAAAGGAAAAATATGAAAATTTGATGGTTATATATTATCGAACAAATCTTTCCATTAGATCATTATGTACTAATTTTCTTTTCGTTACTCAAGCAAATTATAATTTGTAAAATTTAGAATAGAAGATTCATTTCCTGCATAATTCTTTTTCATTATTACTCTATTTCATTTTGTGACATTTTGTCATCTATAATATATATTTTGGATTATTTAAATAAATATAGATGTTATTGTTATTATGTAAAAAATCTGGGTATGACCAACTTTGTTTTGGTCAAACTATTCTCTAATGTTTTAATAACTTGGTTTAAGTATTGGTATGACCAGATACTGAGATATAATAAATATCCATCTTTAAATTTTTGTTTTTGACTTTTTTGCTCTTTCCAAAGTGAAAACCCTATCCACACATACATATTCTCAGCCTAACGAAAATGGTTTAAGCAGACGAAAGAAATTGAATTCGTAAAGCCAAACCCTATCCGCAATGGGTTTTTCCATCTCCAAACACAAGAAACCATCTTCCTTCTCAGCGATTCCAGAGGATGTCGCCTTTGTCATTCTCTCGAGATTGCCTGCGAAATCCATAGCGATTTTCCGTTGCGTATCGAAGCAATGGGCATCAATTCTTCGCCTTCCAGATTTCACCGAACGCTTCCTGACCAAGTCCTCGTCTCTTGTTCACTTTCCAAGTTGATGGTAAGTGGCTCTTCTTCTCGTCACCTCAGCCTCTAAATCCAGACAACAAATCGCGTCTTCTATCTGCTGATTATCACATGTGTCTCCCTGGAGGTTGTTCCTTTGATGTTCGTTCCGTTGTCCACATATTGATCTTCTGTAATGAAGATAGGAGTCTGATGATATGTAACCTTAGCACTGGTCAGTACAGGACCATACCCAGACCCTGGAGAGATAGTACTCAAGCTCCTGTGAAAACCTAATTTGCGTACGATCCGATCGAACAACAGTTTAAGTTATTGTGCGTGACAGTTTATTCCAAGAAGCATCAAATTCTGACATTAGAAAGAGGTTTACTGTCATGGAGAACGGTTGAATGTTCCAAACCTCACTATCATGTATGTGTTGGGACATGCATTGATGGGGTTTTGTATTACAAAGCTCGAGGAAATCACCATCCATGGGCCAATCATACGATAGTCTCTTTTGATGTTAGGTCTGAGAACTTCAAGTTTATTACTCACCAAGCTGGGGAGACTTGGGTCTACCAACTGATGAATTACAAGGATAAATTAGGTGCAATTAGAATTGATTTAGAAGGTGATTCTAATGGTAGCATTTTGTTACAGGTTCTAGATGTCGAGGAACATAATTGGTCGAGTTATATCTTCATATTGCCGGCTTTGTGGAAAATGTAGTTGAAGACCCTTGGTCATACATTGTTGGGATGACTAGTGATGGTGAAATTGTCTTGTCCTCGTTCACTGCATCTGATCCTTATGTTATCTATTACAATGGGGAGAGCAAAACTATCGTAAGATTTGAAATCCAAGGGTTGGGAGTTGCTGATCAGAGTAAACACATCTATACCTATATGAACCATGTGGAGGATGTGAAGCTTATGGAAGCGTTTATGACTTTATAAATACAGTACTATCTTGTCTTGTAGTACTTATATCGATTGGTCAGGTTATTGGAGGTCAAGAAAGTGTTCAAACTCTTTCTGGAAATTGTTCCTACCAATGCTCATCTTTTGAGTAATGGTTCTTGTAAGCTTTTAGCTGTTTAAACTTTACATTCTAAAACCCTTGGTCATACATTGTTGGGATGCTCGGAGACGTTCTTCTGCCGTTTGTTTATGGACATGTTAATTAAAACCCTATAGACAAAGTTTTATTTGTTATAAATGCTGTTTGTTCTGCCTTTTTTTCATAGTGGAAACCCTACATGTATATAGTTTTCTACCATAAACAAGCATATAGTATATAGAAGAAAATAGCAAAGGAGCAAGGCTTTCTTTCTAGTCAAATAAGACGAATACTAAATCATCCTCACTCTCTTCCTTGACCTCCTCCTGAAGATTATACATCAATACCATAGAGTAGTGTTGTAATAAAGCATATGACCAAAATTATGAAAAAACGTTGAAGGAGAGAAAAATACAATACCTTCTTCTTCTGCTCAGCTGCTGGTGCTGCTTGAGTGGCTCCTCCAGCTGCAGGGGAAGAGAAAGATACGGCCATGGTAGCAGCAGAAGAGCCACCAGGACCAGCGTTCATGACGAGATCATCGATGTTTCTGTTATGGCAAAGCTTAGCAAAAAGACTAGGCCAGTATGATTCAATGTTTAAGTTGGCTGTTCTCACCAGTGTTGAGATCTTCTCAGCCTGTATTAAGATCAGAACATGTCATATGCGAATATCAGATAGGTTAAATGTCAAGTATACATATCGAACCAATGCATAAGAGGTTTAACAAGTTGCCAAAATTATTTAAGCAAATACAAAACAGTTTATACAACATGAAAATTGAAGCGAGAAATCTTATATGATGATAGTATCAAAGAAGCTAATGATTCAAACTTCAGACTAAAGTCACTCCTCACAAAATTAGGTTTATATACTGAAAAGAAAATTGACAATATAAGCTAGAGTTCCAGATCTAAGATTAAATATAGCCTAAATTTATGATTTCCATACCGTATCTCAGTCGAATACTCGCGTTAAATAAATTAAAATTGACATAACGAATATGGAATTAAGATATTGAACGGTTGATTAAACGGCGAATAGACAGGTAAAACACATTAATTACAATCAGAAAAGATAACGTAACCGAAAAGGTAAGAAGGAGAAGTTAAAAGGGCTTATGGTGACGTCGATTCCATTATCGTGGAGGATAAGTGCGGCTTAGGTACATGCGAGCTCACCGATGGCCATTGTAGCTAGCTAGCTTCAGCGAACGTGAAGAAGAGAGACAATGAAAAACGGAAATTTAGCACTCCCTAGTCTTTATACTTTGATCGAGCTAGGGTTTCTGAACTCACCGGCAATCATCATCATCATATATTAATTGTTAGAGGAGAAATGAATACATTTCCTAAAAAGCTTTCTTTATCAATAATCTAAGCCCATCGAAATTAGGAAGACTACGCCGACATAGTTCCAAAAAAGAAAACCTCGACGATAATCTTGAAAGTCCCATAAAGGTGGGTCGGCTTTAAGGAATATTCAAGGATAAAGGAGATTTTCATATTTTTCGAGGAACAAGTGATATTTCCATATCGCAAATATGGAAATATTCACCAAAGGAAAAAAGGAACAGGAGTTCGGAGCAACCGCCCTCCTATTCCTATAAATAAGAAGACCTTGGAGCACAAGAGGGATAACTCATACAACCTAGAGAGCAGCAGAGCTAAAACCAAAAACTCCAACGCTTTCTAATTTATTTCGAAAACAATTTATTTTCACTTCGGCATAACCTTTTGGTAAAGCCATCTCTTGTAATCGCTTCATCTTTAAGTTATTAATAAAGAACTTGTTCTCCAAAACCCACAACTGTTAATCAAATCCCTAGTGGTGATTTTATGGTTCAACAATTGGTGCCGTCTATGGGGACTAGGAGAATAAATTCTAAAAACTAGCAAAAAGATCCGAAGCGATGAGCCTTCCGTCTGATAACAGCAACCTCACCAACCCCACCTCTAACGTAGAGGATACTACCACACGCGTTGACACGCCTGCCCTCGATGAGCGCGACAACCCTATCACCACGATGCCACCACCCAGAGGACGATCTGCAACAACCGACGATGCCTACATGATCATGGGCAGATTATTCGACGACTGCTCGTTTAAGGAAATTAAGCGTTACGAAGAAAAGGTGGTAGCAGCAAAATACAATCCATCCGTTCCGAGAAACGAAGCACCAATAGATTTTGCAGCAGAGGACCTGCAAAACTCGCACACACCGCACAATGATCCGCTGGTCATAACCTTACAAATTCACGAGAGCACCGTCGCCAAAGCTTTGGTCGACAGCGGCTGCACCGCCAATATCATCTTCAAGGATACATTGAGAAGAATGGACATCGGTGAAGATAAGATAGTAACGACAGCAAAACCATTAATGGGATTTGCTAGCGATACCTCTTACAGCATCGGCTCGATATATCTACTCACCTACATCGGCGGCGTAACCAAGAAGGCAAAATTTGCGGTCATCAACTGCCCGACTATTTACAACGTCATACTCGAAACTCCATGGATCCATAGCATGAAAGCCATAGTCTCAACTTACCATTAATGCATCAAATTCCCGACTCCCAAAGGTATGTTCACCCTTCAAGGCGATCAATCAACAACACGAATGTGCCTCCTCAGTGAGAAGAAGATCAGGACGGCAACTGAGTGTATGGCGAACGAAGATCTAGACCCACGCCTTCCTTATCACAAAAGACCGAAGCTGGAGAGGGTTATACAGGTAAACATTGATGAGCAACACTCCGAAAGAACCGTCAGCATCGGCGGCGATCTCACAGAAGATATTAAAACAGAGCTCGTCAAACTTCTGCGAAACAACGTGCATCTATTCGCTTGGTCTATGGAAGACATGAAGGGAATTGATACTAGAATCACTTCGCACAAGTTAAACGTGGACCCTACGTTCAAACCAATCAAGCAAAAACGAAAGAAGCTCGGCCCTGAGAAGGCCCAAGCAGTAACCGACGAAGTGGAAAAACAACTCGGAGCTGGATCGATCACCGAAGTTCAATACCCAGACTGGTTGGCCAACCCCGTCGTCGTCAAAAAGAAGAACGGCAAGTGGAGGGTCTGTGTCGACTTTACCGACCTCAACAAGGTTTGTCCGAAAGATTGCTTTCCGCTTCCCCATATTGGCCGACTGGTCGAGTCAACAGCTGGGAATCAACTATTATCCTTCATGGATGCCTTTTCCAGATACAATCAAATCTTTATGCATCCCGACGATAGAGAGAAGACGGCGTTCATCATCAACCGCATAACATATTGTTACAAAGTCATGCTTTTCGGACTAAAAAATGCAGGAGCTACATATCAGCGGTTGGTCAACAAAATGTTTGCAAGTCAGCTCGACCGCACCATGGAGGTTTACATCTATGATATGCTAGTAAAATCCGTAGTTGCTAAAGATCACGTCGGCCACCTCAGGGATTGCTTCAAAACCCTCGAGAAATATGGAATGAAATAAAATCCAGCCAAATGCACATTCAGAGTAACTTCAGGAGAATTCCTAGGTTACATCGTCACCCAAGGAATAGAAGCAAACCCAAAACAAATCTCAGCGATACTGGATCTCCTGTCACCCAAAAATACGCGCGAGGTACAACGATTAACCGGGAGAATTACCGCGCTAAACAAATTCATCTCGCGTTCAACGGATAAATGTCTCCCCTTTTATCAATTACTTCAGAGTAATAAACGCTTTGACTGGGACGACAAATGCGAGGAAGCGCTTACACAGTTTAAGGAGTACCTAACCACCCCGCCGATATTAGCAAAACCGGAGGATGGCGAGACCCAGTACCTTTACATTACGATTTCGACGACGGCAGTAAGCGGCGTCCTTGTCAGAGAAGATCGCGGCGAACAAAAACCGATCTTCTATATCAGTAAAACTCTGGATGGATCCGAGATTCGTTATCCGGCTCTGGAAAAACTCGCTTATGCAGTAATTATCTCGGCGTAGAAATTACGATCCTACTTCTAGTCTCACACTATCGTCGTCTTCACTAGTCAACCACTTCGGAGCATTCTGCACAATCCTAGTCAGTCCGACCGAATGGCTAAATGGGCAATAGAACTGTCCGAATACGACATTGAATACCAAGCTCGCACAAGCGCCAAATCTACATTCTTAGCAGACTTCATGACCGAAATACCACCAGACCTACTGAACGACGAAACACCAACAGAAAACCGTTGGAACTTATATGTCAATGACGTCTCATCGAAGCAAGGATCGTGAGTCAGCATCTGTTTGAAATCTCCAACAGGAGAAGTCCTTCAGCAATCATTCAAGCTCGGCTTCCCTGCCTCAAACAACGAAGCCGAGTACGAAGCTTTCCTCGCAGGAATTCGTCTCGCCAAAGAAGTAGGAACAAAAAATTTCATGCTTTTTGGGACTCTCAACTCGTCGCCAGCCAATTTAAAGGAGATTACGACGCAAAAAACGAACGAATGGATGCTTACCTAAAACAGGTCCAGGAGATAACGAAGCAATTCGATTCTTTCGAACTAATCAAAATTCTGTGAACCGAGAATACTGCCGCGGACGCACTAGCAGCATTGGCATCAACAACATATCATGCACTTCGCCGCACAATTCCAGTAGAAATAATCGAACAACCAAGTATCTAACTTTCCAAAGGATCTTGCAGCATGGTTTTACATCAGGAAGACGAAGATGAGGACCCAATGGAAGTAGACACCGAGCAACAAAAGCAGCCTTGCGGGATGAAATTAATAGCTACCTATTCGAAGGAACGGTCCCAGAGGATAGATGGGTAGCTCGGCATCTCCAGAGAAAAGCAGCGCAATACTTCATTCAGGAGGGCAACATTTTCCGATGGACAGCAAACAAAGTAATACTACAATGTTGCGACTCACGAAGGAGCAGGCGACAACCATTCCGGGGGAAGAGCATTAGCCCTGAAAATAAAGAAGCATGGGCAGTTCTGGCTAAGAATGGTCCAAGACTGCGAACAGTTTGTGCTACGATGCGAATCATGTCAAAAACATGCACCCATCATCAACACCCCCACCGAGCTCCTTCAAACCACCGTCCCGCCATATCCCTTCATGAGGTGGTCAATGGATGCGATCGGACCAATGCTTAAGTCGGGTCACAATCAATGTATCCTGGTCCTGACAGACTATTTTACAAAGTGGATTGAAGCCAGAGCATACCCCACCATAAAGGCAATCGACGTCCAGCTTTTCATATGGGAAAACATCATATGCCGGCATGGCCTCCCATATGATATCGTCACAGATAACGGCACGCCATTCACCTCGTCGACCTTCCGAAACTTTTGTGAGGGCTGGGGAATACGCATAAGTTACTCAACGCCTTGCTATCCACAAGGGATCTGTCAAGCGGAGGCTTCCAATAAAACCATTCTCGACGGTATTAAGAAACGACTAACAAACCTAGAGGGAAGATGGGCAGACGAACTGGACGGCGTCCTCTGGTCTAACCGAACGACCCCACGAACTGCAACAAGAGAAACCCTATTTTTGCTGTCTCACGGCTGTGAGGCCTTGGCACCTGCCGAAGCGCATGTACCAAGTGCCTGACGAACCTTAATGGTTCGGAACCCGCAACTAAACGAGGAAAAGCTAATCAACACTCTGGATGGCCTAGAAAAACTTTGCGATAAAGCCTTATTACGCATTCAGAATTATCAGCAGCAAATCTCTAGGTACTACAACAAAAAGGTTCGTAGGCGACTGTTCGCGCTTCATGATCTCGTTTTACGAAGGGTTACAAATCCAACAAAACTGAAAGAAAATTGGAAGGGACCTTATTGCATTACAGAGGTTGTCAAACTCGGCGTCTACAGACTACAGAAAATGAATGGCAAACCATTCAAGCGAGCACGAAATTCAATGAATTTAAGGAAATACTACCCTTAGAATAAGCAGCTCGACATATAAGTCTACATTTGTTACCAAAAACTACGAACGACTTGATCCCGCTTTGGGTACGTAGACAGCCTTCGGGTTCAGTTACTATCTTAATAAAATTACCTTTATATTTTTCAACC